CGGATGCTGTAGTCCATGAAAGCTTATGCTCTAATAAATTTGTTAGTCTCTAAGGTGCCACAAGTACTCCTGTTCTTTTTACGGATACAGACTAACACGGCTGCTACTCTGAAACCTTAATTTAGAGCTGTCCTTCCCCACCCCAAACTTCTCTGAGCTCAGTTCTGAAGAGCTCAGAATTGGATCCTAACTATATCCCCAACAAAGGGTGTTCTTTATTCAGGCACGCCTGTGGCAGCCAGTCATGTTAGGAAGGTTAGCTTAGGCTAAACGGTTTCTTTTTAAAATGAAAACTTAATTTTGCGTCAATAATGGAGTCATGAGTAGACCACAGGAGACAGTAGTGGGCTGCAGAGTGTGCGCCACAACTTTAGGGCCAATTACCAGGCAAAAAGAAGTGACATACAGCCTAACAATAGATTGAGGAAGGTGGAAGAGCTCTCACCAGGCTGGCACAGTTTGGATCAGGAAAAGCTCCACAGCCCCGGACATAGTATGTGTCTTGTTAGAAAGTCATGACAATGGTAAGGTTGCAAAGGCTGATTCCATTCTAGTTCATAGATTTGAACTCCTTCTGTCTTGGTTACAAATATCTTTTTGGCCTGAAAATTCTGAAATTAGCTGCAGATTGGACCTTTGCCCATGCGCCACAGCTCTCAAGTTCACTCTTGCTAATGAAGCTAAAAAACGGGGTGGATGTACAGTAATTACAGGCATAGCGATATCATTTGAAAGGGTCTTTCTCATTTGCTTATAACTTTATCAAGCATTTACCTTTCAGGTTGAAATTGAACATACTTGATTTCAGTCAAGATGACTATTTGTTTTAGCTTTGAGCAAAAGTGGATCAGACATTTTGAAATCTGAAGAAAAAAACAAACAGAAAAAAACACTTTTGTCATTCAAAATAATTAATTGCATCTTTAATTTAAAATAGTTGTAGCGCCTCAGCAATTTTTCATATATTCCCAGGCCAGAAGGGACTGATCATCTAGTCTAATAATTTCCTGTATAACACATTTGCTTGATGATGATGATTTGAAGCTTGCATTTACATTTTCGAGACCTATCAGTTACTCAGCTTGTGTGCCATATTAATTTAATATCATTCTAGTTTTTTAATCAAAATTCAGGGCAATACAAATGCCTTACAGAAGTCTAAGTATAGCACATCAACACTACTACTGTTATCAAACAAACTTGTAATCTCATTTAAAAAAGTAAGTTAGTTTGACAGGATTTATTTTCCATAAACACATGTCAATTGGCATTATATAGTACCTTCCTTTCATTCTTTATTCACCGAGTCCCTTATCAACCACTCCCTTATTTTGCCTGGGATCATTATCACATTGACAGGCCTATAGTTACCCAAATCATCCCATTTATCCTTTTAAAATATTGGCACAACATTAGCTTTCTTCCAGTTTTCCAAAGACTTGCTGAAAATCAACATTAATGGTCCAGAATTATCATTCTATCATTTCCATGTAGTAATAGACCAGTACCATTGTCAGGATCCTTTTTGTTTCTAATTACATAACAAAAATCCCTTATCATCCTTAATGCTGTTGGCCATAGATTTCTCCTTTTGTCCCTTTGCGTCCCTCATTAATTTTCTACAATTCCTAGCTTCCAATTTATATTAATTACTATCAAATTCCCCTTTCTTTCATTTGTTATATATATTATTTTTTACAGCTGCCGTCACTACCTTTCTAAACCAGGTCAGTCTTTTAACCGATATGTCCTTCTTCAATTGTTGCTTTTTGGACACCCAGTAAAGTGTTAAACAGTTTCTAATTATCATTCACATTTTTCTGATTAAATTCTTCCTTCTAGTTCATAATTGTTTTTAGCATTGTGAAATGGGCCTTGTTAAAGCACCAAGTAAATATACTACTGGGTTGGAGTTTATTCTGTTTACACATAACAAATGTGATCAGGTCATGATCACTTGTACCTGAGCTACCATTAAATTTTAGTTCTGTGATCAGTTCCTCTTTATCTGTCAAGACAGAGTCTATAGAATTCCCCCATGCTGGATGCAACACTTTCCAAGTTAGGAAATTGTCATCTACAATGTTTAGAAATTCCAAAGATGTTTTGGTATGGCAGCAGGAGACCTTCAGCATATGTTACTCCGATTGAAGTCTCCCATGATCACATAGCTTTTCCCCCCTACACATTACAGAGAGATGCTTAAGGAGTCAGTCATCCTGTTCCTTAGTGTGATCTGGTGGTCTGTAGCACACAGCAATGAATAATACCCCATCTTGTGCTTTACCTGTTTGCACATTGATTTATAAGCATTTAAGACCATATTTTTATGAGTTATCAGTGACTCAGAAATAGTAATACCATTTTTGACATAGAGTGGCACTCCCGATCCTCTTTTGCCCACTTTTTCCTTCCTAAATACAGTAGGTTAAAACTATCGATTTTAACATTACAGTCATGCTGTTCATCCCACCAGGTTTCAGTAATACCAACTAGATTGAATGTATGCTCATAAATGAGCAATTCCAATTCCTCTTGTTTGTTACCCATGCTCCCCAGCATTAGTGTATATAGGCAATTACAAAATTTCTTCTCTTCACCTTCTTTGCTTCTTTAATTTTT